GAAGACCATACAAAACAAGATTGAGGTTTGATCAGTGACGTTGCAAACATCTACTAAAAAGTGGCTCTTCAGCTGTAACATCCTTTTGGTATCTAGCTACCATGTCACCCAAAGCACGAGGGCTGAGATACTACGAGTTCGCCTAAGCCAGGACATAAGAATTAGAGATGCAGAATTTGGGTTCCAACGAAGGATCCTCCGATCAGTAAGTTCGCGCCTTAATTACCGATCTATTTTGAGCTCTTGCAAACAGTCTGAGTTAGCAGTTTCTCTGCACAGAGCATTGGCTATTTCGTTTTACTTAATACAGCATCGAACGCCAGAAGTCAATGGATTTGACTGCGCAAGGCGAATTTGAATAATGGGTGGTGACTGAATGGAGTGCCTGTTGTTGAAACAGGAATGGTAGCTGAGGACTTCTGTTCCAAAAACCACGACACATATTTTGAAGGTTACCAGACGACTCTATGTGGAAGGTGTCTACCTGCCAATGCGGACGCGAGTGAAATGGTACATCACGTGGGATGCGGAAAGGATGAACATGGGCTTGTAGTGTGAATCCTAGCTGAACAGCCAGGTGGGGCGACCCCTTTAACGTTGAAATGTGATCGCCTTTGGAAGGCAAGTGCAAGGACGACTCTTCCGGAGGAACAACAGAAATAATGTGCTCTGGACTTTACGTTGCTATGGAAACGTGTGAGGTTCTCTGGATATCTGTCCGATATAATCGTCTCTTTTGCGAACTAATCACCGGCACGTATTTCGTTGCCAAAGACGTTTGCGCACTTACGGGACGAACTTTCCAATGGTGATTGCCCAAAAAAGTTCATACCAGAACCTAACTCCCAAGCATATGGACAGATAATCACCGAACCAAATCGAGAAAAAGTTAAAGTAAGCGTTCTGACTAGTTGTAGTGTCCTATCAGGTGGTCGAACAAAGTGTGTGCAAAAATCACGGTACAGATTGACGAGATGAAGTGTTGCAGCTGTACCAGCATCAATTCACCAGGGAATTAAAGCGAAAAATTCCACGGAAATTAGATGACCGTCAAGCCGGTCGGATCAGTCGGCCCGAGTCGGAGGAATAGAATGAGTTACAGCTGACTGGATGGCGTCAGAGGTGACTGAAGAAAACCATAAACAACACAATACAATGCTGTTAGTGAAAAACAAACCGCCCAAGCCCTGAAAACGCGTAGCGATCGTAGAACCCGTTAAGGTATCTCTCTTTTATGAGTAACCGACTTTGGAGGATACTGGGATGTCATCTAGACAAGCGTTTTCCCTCTTGGGAAAGGATATCAATATGGGCCATGTATTACGTCGTATACAAGTGTATAAATGAATTCGGCGTGTGATAACTGAGTGAGTGTACCAGGCATCAAGCGGTACTGCAGATAAATGAACCAGGAATTATGTATCTTTATAAGATAAGATGTCCCGGTATTCTACACAGGATGTATCGATTAACCCATTAAAATCCTCAAGTGTTCCTATGGAAATCTAAAGATGCTTCTATGTGAATTCACTGAGAGTGCCTGCGTCGTTTCTGTGTTACTTTATTGTGTCTAATCACTGCAACAGGGTAACCCAGATACCCGTCGCTGACTCGATAATGGACAAACTGGAGCCCCGATGAACATGGGTAAAGAACAGTGTTACTCAACTTATGCTGTTAAATTGCACCTTCTGGAATTTATACAGCTGGTGTGTTTACCAATCGCTGAATATGCCGGTGAAGAGGTGATGTGCAAGAGCATGCTTTTTCCTTCGAAAGGCGTGTTCAGGTTGGTGTTGAATATCGAGAGTGTAGACGTGTCATTATCTTAACTAACCAATGAGAAATATCAGTAATTTCATGTTGAAAGGGTTTTCTTCCATGAAGCATCACTTATCCATCCCACGTCACCGATTACGATTGTGACCGAAGAGCATAGTGGACAACAGGCTAAGATCTCACAGAGAAATTGGGAGCCGGTCCGTCCAGCATCTGAAATTGTGCCAGCATTCAAGTTGCACGAGGTGCTCCTCCTTCAGTACGTTTGGAACCCTTGTAAGCAGTATGATGAGGTTTGGTATACGGGTGGCAAAGCTCACTACCATATGAGATTCATATACTCTGATTCAGTGAGCAGGGGAACAGAAGTTTACCCAATCCATCTAATCACAGCAGGATGATTTGTGCAAGTGACCCGAGCACACCTCACCAGATGACTGAGACCGATAAGCCTACTCACAAAGACACAACCTTCTAACAGTGAATCCGTGTACCTCTATCAGGATGGAACAAGGCTTCAGAATCGTTGTGGCATAAATTAATCTCATCACTTGGACCCACTGTTGCTGAACTAGACAAAATCTAACCAGTCACTTAGGTAATCAAGGCTTAGGCTACATGTGGAGTACAGGACATATGACCCGAGATGGTGAACAGTCGATCTACGAAACTTCTGCAGGCATCGAATTTATGAGGACTAAGAGTGATGAATTTTCCTCAATAAGTCGGTGAAACACAGGTAAGTTGAAGTTACTTTACTGAAAGATTTGTAAGGGAATATCGTGAGGCAGTTACCAGAGTGGGGCGGGAACACAAATAAAGGAAGCTGTATACAGTCGAGTTGACATTTATTGGTTAGTCTGTCCTTATTAAACCCATCACTTTACATGGTTGCCAGCAGGAAAAGCCCCCAACAACCACCCGAAAGTTAAGATAGCCAGTCGATGACGTAACTATGTGCCTGATGTGAGACCTACATTGCGTTATTTTTAGTACTGAAAGGTATCGATAGATTCTACATTCATGGAATCACTCTTTACAACCACGAATTGGAGAAAGTATTCGAAAATGGCCTTAGACGATCGCCAACATCCTCAATCGTGATGTTTAGCACATGCTCATATGTTAACTGGTTTGTCGAGTGACGACTTCCTATGCCTTAATTCTTCAAACTTTTCATTCCATTCGGCAGCAAGCGTTTGAGCACTTCTACGGTTATCTTTAGAGTTCTGCATATTCCGCCACAATGTGTTACTAATGACTTCTTTTCGGAACAGAGTCAACGGTGCCCGCTAGAGGAGACTTTTAGGATAGTTCATCCATGATACAATAATGTAAATTCAACCAATTTTTCAACTCAACCATAACATCCGGAGCTTCCAGCAATCCTTAAGCCCTCTCCTCCAACATGTGTGTTTATTCAGCGGATCCACGTTTTTAAAAGCCACCTGTTTCTTACTTTTCCTAACCAGAACGTAGGCAGATCGGACAGCAATGTCAAGTGCCCGTAAGTTAATAGATGAAATCAATGGTGGTGTTTTCGNGCGGATCCACGTTTTTAAAAGCCACCTGTTTCTTACTTTTCCTAACCAGAACGTAGGCAGATCGGACAGCAATGTCAAGTGCCCGTAAGTTAATAGATGAAATCAATGGTGGTGTTTTCGTCCATATTGCTGACAGCTATCTTTCCCTATCCGTCCAAAAATTCTGACTTTGAGAACGTGCAATAAGGCCAGTGAGGCGTTAAAATATGTATATGAGAAAAACAAATTGTCTAGTTTAAACTTGGAAATGGGAGATATACATTCCTTGCAACAGACTGGCATCTGTCATCTGCTGGTTCCGGGCTGTGCGAATACTCTTCTTCTGGATAACACTTTTGAAAATAACACATTAGACGTCAGCTGCCTTTCACGGTAGGTACACAGAGCACCTGATCCTGAATCAGACATACCGAACTCAATTGCTCATCGGAGACAGAAATAACAGTTTCGGTATATTCACGTCCATCTATAAGCGTCTGGCTTTAACAGACAGTGCGTATTCGCCAACAAGCGGATGGTAGGGCATGCCAGATACAGACAATTAGCCGTCGATTCTCGAATCAATGGATCACAGTGTAGACTCATTGAAATCGAATTATCCAAGATAAGTGTCTGGAGGTGCGAAACGTTTTTGGAACCACCCTAGACGAATGAGAAGAAAAAACCACCTTGCCAGGCAAAAATACACGTCTCTAAGGCATTCAAACCGTGTGTTGCATGGTACTCAATCATGTGCTACCAATCACTTTCACTGTCCAACGTGACTTGTGAACACCGCGATCAGCGGCGATCATTAGATGAAAGTTTACCTACCATTTAAACCGAGAAACAACAATTCACTACTGTTCGCGGGTGAACAAGGGAACAAGTGCGCAAGAATCCCAAAAAGAATAATCGTACAATCGACAGGAAAATGTAAACTGCCCAACGAAAGTTATGCATGACCCAGTACGTGGACCCAGTAAGTGGGATTGAGAATAGGAGTTATGACGAGGCGAAGAGACAGGCCTATGTGATATCTGAAGTAAGGTTCTCAGGTTGAATGTTGGTGTCCGGTTGGCACGGCTAATTTCATCAGATGCACGACATCCAAAGTACGGAAAGCTATCGTTTCAATGATCGCAAACAAAGCAAAAAAGCACGTTCGGATAAGCAGTATCAATGACGGTGCCAATCAGGTTCACAGTAAAGCAAACGAACTTTTCTAGTATCGAGTTTCATCGGACATCGTTTTGGACAGTTCTAGTTAGAGTTCGTGTATCAAAAGCAACGTGTGCCAATATCCACAAAGTAATTTCGTACGTCGTTTTTTTCCAGTTTAATTGATACTCCGAATCCCTTAAGCCTTACCTCAACTAAGGACACAATAATTAGTGTTCGCTTCGAAAGGATTGCTTCCGAAAGTGGAGAACAGATGATCAATGATGAGCTCAGAGGATGGGGGATTGACACAACTTCTTGGTTGCAATGGTCTACGGTTGGACTTGATCTCCGACTTCACACTACTGCTGTTTAGGTGCAGTCGAACGCCTTTGGGTTGCATGGCAAGGGTTGAAGGTACAACAAGACTATGCAGCATTAGTTGCACATTATTATGATACCTGGAACCTGACTAGAACTTTGCCTATCTGTTGGGTCTAGCCAAGCTGTTTAGAACTGAAAACTAAAAAAACATACCAGTAGTCCAGTTCGGAACAAGATTTTCTGACCTTCCATGAGAAAGCAATCGACGAGACGAACAAGATGACCAAACGGGAGCTGCCAAACAGCAACAGTCCAAAGGGCTAATTGCACGCGAGGATCAAGACCAGCCCCGGAGGGCGAGCCATTACTACCTTCGACGTGGCCGGTCCCCGCACGGAGCACCTGTCTGGAGACGAATCCAAATCGACCGATTTGTTCCAAGGCCAAACAATGCTCCTTCCATTCGCTTTTCGTTTGAGTGACAGTGCGACCCCGTTCCAATACCCCAAGAAGACAGGCCCGGGCAATAGGTTCTGAATGGTAATGTAAAAACAAAGCTAGCAAGGGCCACAGCTGTGGTGCATAAACTAGCTCCGGATGGGCAATGGCAACACCACGCAGTATGCTGCGTAGTGACTTTTGACCGTCATCATTGAGGTAGAATGTCGGACACAGTGCCTGATCCGCCAGCTCGTAGCCACCCAAAGTGGATCGCTCGTCTTCTGCCCGAAACGATGTTGGTGACATATCTGGTGAGTTTTCTGACTGGGTAAATCAAGAATTAATCGCATATTGATATTTGAATGTTCTAAAGAGACAACATGAAAGAAGTGAATGCTATACACAGACGATCAGTTAAGGGCAACGAAGATCTTCCGTAAGGATTTCTACAATACACAAGTCCAGCTCCAAGTGGTTGATCGGCATCCACAATCGGAGCATACAATTAGACAAGTTGTGGAACCACGTAATTCACGTCACATGATCTGATACTGACTGGTTTCTTGCGTGGTGACTCCTCAGAGGAAGGCTTATACCTTTTCTTTTATCTTCCTACCAGATAGACCCGAGTAGTTAGTCAGACACAGGCTAAGAAGTTCACCGCCATCCTTGAAAAAAGCAGGTGCAAGGTCGTCAGGACCAGCAACACGATGATGCTTGGGTAGAGAGCTGAGACTGAAGGCTACTCCATATTTACGGTCTACCTTTCTGTTGAAGGTCAGGATTCTGGATTGGAGGTAGCAGGTGGCCAGCTGAATTACTGCTCAAAGTACTGTGCTCAGATGTCCAAACGTTCTATTTTGCTGCATATCAGGGAGCCATTTTGGTCCCTGATTATTTCGCTGACAAGTGGTTTCCGAGGGCCAGTCGAACGAATCAAGTGGAACAGCTTGCGGGCTTTTCCAGTATTCTTTGCATTTTCCATTCCTTCGGCCTTTTGGGTCCACCAAGCTTCTCGGTATGCACGGATACTGAGTTTCACCTGGCGTCGGATGATACATCAAGTGGAGTTGTGATTGTGGCCAGGAGGGATTTGTCGCCAGGTCTCCAGCAGACTCGCTCCCGTCAAAGATCCAGTGTCTGGATGAGGTTAGCTGGGTTGTATCGCAAACACACTTTCCGCATTTGAGTAGCGCTTTGGATATCCTTTCCCAGTGGCCGTTTAGAGCCGACAACGGACAGTTTGGCAGGCATTCCAGGAGCTGGTTCTGATAGTTTAGTTTGAGTTCTGAGTCCACTAGCTTCGCAGTGGCCAAGTGAGGTGTGCGCGTTTTGCGTACACCTGAAAAGCGCAATGAAATGCATCAGCGTACAAATGCACGGTTAGAGTCCACGCCGGTGTTTCAGAAGAAGCGACAGGCGGTGATCGACCTTCACAACCGATAACTGACAGCGATGTGGTCTATTTGGATTCGGGGCTGGTTCGTTGGAGGGCGCAGCGTTGTCAAGCGATTTCCGTTGTTCCGAGAATTCGTACTGCAAAGGAACAGTCTGTGATCGGCACATATGTGAAGAAAGCGATCCTATTTGCCCGTTCGTCTCGTGTCAAATCCAAAACGACCACCCAGTCGAGCCTCAACAGCGCCTAGTCTACCTACATGGGTTTTCATTTCACCAACAACTTCAACATCTGAGTTGTCATAGAAACTGTTCTTGGCAGAATCAGAGCTTCACTTGGGGCCTAAGTAATCACAATGAACAATACAATAAACTATAAACACAGATGTTGCCGAACGAACCACAGAGGCGACTATCAACGAGTATCCAATGAAATATAGACGCTTCCACTCGGTCGCTCGATACAATACCCGCGGCGGCTTCTGCATCACCAGAGGTGAACAGTCGGAACCTCGAAAAGAGCGAGAGGGTAGTCAGTTCGATCACAGTAATTGCATCATGCATCCTTATTTCTGACAGACAACAAACATCAATGGAGAGTGAATCCAGCGTACGAGCAAGAGCTGATTGCTTCAGTGTGCGAACAGTAAAGGTGGCCGACTGGATAGACCTTCGGGGTTGGAAAACAGACGTCGAAGTGTTTATGGTTGTTACTAACTCGAAGGTAGAGAAGCTGCAGCTGAATGTGATGCAGGGCAAGTGCTGGGACCTGCAGAGGGAGTATTCAAATTTGGATGGAGGAGGTTGGAAGACGGAAACTTTGAATGTGTAAAGAGGGAGGCGTCAGCACTAGCATGTTTTGGCTTACCCACCCTGCTGTATGTAGCATGTAAGGCGACTCGGTTGATAACACCACACGAAGGCCGACATCGCATGAGCGTATCGTTAGTTGTAAGTGTCATGGTTGTAATTCCAGGGCGCCCACACCTAGATAATAATAATAAATAATCGTTCAGCTGTAGCGCCCTTTCGGTGCCTAGCTGCCATGCCACCCGAAGGAAGCACAAGGGCTGGAATACTGCCAGGTTGTCCAAGCCTAGACAGGGGAAGTCGAGAGGTAGAGGTTGGATTCGAACCACGGACCTTCCGGTCAGTAAATTCGCGCTCTAACCACTTTAGGCATCTCGCCCACACCTAGACAGGAGGACAACTAGGGTCCTCAACTAAAGTCTTGGCTCACAAGTCTAACCTCAAGGCAGCCGTGTTGGGCTAGAAATGCATGTACACATGTCCAACCCCCAACCTGGGGGGGGGCAGGAGACTGTGTTCGTCGGACTTCTACCCATGGACCAACCTGGTATGAGAGACTCTGTGAGTGTCGCGCGGACACCCCTGAGTATAGCTCAATGGGTCGCCGAGGTACACAAACCGCCACACCACGGTAAGTTCCAGTCTCTTCGTGACGGGACTGAAAATTGATGGATTGTCAATGCACTCAATCAGCCTAGGTAACAGGCCGGTGCAGCACGATTTTCTGATCAGCCCAGACAAAGAACAGGCAATTTTGGGGGCGGATTTTCTCAAGAGTGCAGAACCTGTGGTTGGTCTATAGCGGGGCAAACTGATTACAAAGTATGGCTCAGTCGCACTTGAAGGTTACTCAAGCACTACCGTGAACGAATTGCACGTCCGAAAGCTTCCGTCTTGTAGTGTACCGTCAGTACAGTCTGTGGTCGAGGAGTAATCCAAACTGTTCACAGGAGACGAAGATCCGTTTGGCTTCTGCTCGTGAATTGAGCAAGAAATCTCCCTCTTGATCGGACCCTTTCGACCGTACGGACTCTGTCCAGTCCATCTACGGGAGCAGGTCCATAAACAGGTTCAAGAGATGTTGGAAAATGGCATAATCAAGAAAGCCATACAAGCATACGACTCATTAATCGTACTTGTGAACGGGAAATACGGGTTTTAAGTGGATTTCAGGTGTTTGAATGAACTGATCGGATTGTAGCTGTCCCTTCGGTTGCGAATATTTTCGATCCGCCCGAACAACCCCGATATTTCACAGTGTCTGACTTGCGTTCCGGATACCACCAACAACTATCAAGTAAGAGGACAGGAAGAAAACGGCAATCATGGTTGGTGACACTCAATATCGATTTATACAAATGCAGTTCTGTCTGACGGGCGCAGCATTCACATTCAGGTGCTTGATGCCTCGTTTAACGAAGGGACTACAGAATGTTGCCGTGTATGGAGACGATATTGGTGTGTGTGGCAATTCGGAACCAGAGCACCCAATTCACTTGGAAGCCGTACTGAAGCGTATTCGGGAAACTGTTCAGCGGATAAACAAAGCTAAGGCACAACTCGCCCGAGGTTCACGGACACTATTCGGGGATAGATTGGGTCACGGAGAGGTTAGACTATGTCCAGAAAAACTGGCAAGGATCCAGGACTGTACAGTCCCTAATTTGAAGCGGTCTCAAAACAGTTTATCGAACGCCACAGCTAGTTTGTCAAGAACTTCAACACGGTTGCTGCTCCACTGTAAGACTTGCTGCATCCAAATCGGAAGTTCCAATAGACAAGAGAAGTGCATGAGGCCTTCGAACCTGTAAAAGCGCGGATGCCAGATCAGCAACTGACTCCCCATACCGATCACAAAACCCCTCGAGTGGATCGGGATGACCAGAGCTCCTCGCAGAAAGCTCAAACGACAGGCACTTCGGTTACAAGAGTAGGACTTCACGATCCGGCACGTGCCAGGGAAGGAGAACCCCCTGGCTGATGGGCTGTCAAAACCATAGGCTGGATAGGTCGCCCCGAAGATTCAATAGTTGTTTGGGACAACCCTTCTCTCCAGCAACCGGATATTGGTGGCTCAACAGTTCCCACCATCGTTGATAGCAATTCAGGATGACCCCTGTAGAAGCAGACGAGAGTGGCTGGGTCCAAGGTTATTAGTTATTAAAGCGTTTCTTCATTTTCAACCAGTGGATTGACCAACAACTCAGTTGGAGCCCCAATACATGTTGTATGAAGACAGAAAAATGTCACCTGTGTTCTGCTAACTGAGCGTCGTTTCGGTGGAACGCTTCAGTATGTTGCTGAATGTCTCGATGTAGTATCTCACGGAATGTTCCAATCCAACTCACCGGTAGTTTCACTGATATGGTGACGATGAGTTCTCTGGTGATCTCGTAGTAACTCCGACAAAGAGGCTAGCAGAGATGAAACTCTAAAATATTGCTTTCATGCGGAGAAAGCATCAGGTCACTGGCTTTACAACTGAGAGTATGCAACCATGCTGAAATCTGTCAAGGTGACGGGTATGTTCTTAGGTAGCCAATTCATAGATTTCAAAGGACGTCACCAGGATTTTCATTGCGTACTGTCAATCTATCGGGGCTACCAAAAATAGAGATTTGTGTCATGCAGTGGCGCCAATCATTAGCCCCAGTAGGAATGGTACATCTTTGCCTTTCATGGCATTCGGGCTTCGACAGAGACATCACGATAATATCCTTTCGTATAATTGAACGTTTCTGAATGTTCATCGACTTGACTGAGGCAGGTGCTCATTTATTAAAGGCGCACAACCTCACTCTAATTTACTTAATGTCTTCCTTATGGACAGCATTGTTTACAATTTTCGTTAGACTGGGACATCCAGTTTTTTAAGCTACTTTAAGCAGCTCATCAGTCGTTTTCCTGAGGGCACCCAAAATGGATCATACGACCCGCCAAAAAGATACACATACGCTACTGAATATCATTGTACACATAAAGCATCTCGCCCACACCTAGACAGGAGGACAACTAGGGTCCTCAACTAAAGTCTTGGCTCACAAGTCTAACCTCAAGGCAGCCGTGTTGGGCTAGAAATGCATGTACACATGTCCAACCCCCAACCTGGGGGGGGGCAGGAGACTGTGTTCGTCGGACTTCTACCCATGGACCAACCTGGTATGAGAGACTCTGTGAGTGTCGCGCGGACACCCCTGAGTATAGCTCAATGGGTCGCCGAGGTACACAAACCGCCACACCACGGTAAGTTCCAGTCTCTTCGTGACGGGACTGAAAATTGATGGATTGTCAATGCACTCAATCAGCCTAGGTAACAGGCCGGTGCAGCACGATTTTCTGATCAGCCCAGACAAAGAACAGGCAATTTTGGGGGCGGATTTTCTCAAGAGTGCAGAACCTGTGGTTGGTCTATAGCGGGGCAAACTGATTACAAAGTATGGCTCAGTCGCACTTGAAGGTTACTCAAGCACTACCGTGAACGAATTGCACGTCCGAAAGCTTCCGTCTTGTAGTGTACCGTCAGTACAGTCTGTGGTCGAGGAGTAATCCAAACTGTTCACAGGAGACGAAGATCCGTTTGGCTTCTGCTCGTGAATTGAGCAAGAAATCTCCCTCTTGATCGGACCCTTTCGACCGTACGGACTCTGTCCAGTCCATCTACGGGAGCAGGTCCATAAACAGGTTCAAGAGATGTTGGAAAATGGCATAATCAAGAAAGCCATACAAGCATACGACTCATTAATCGTACTTGTGAACGGGAAATACGGGTTTTAAGTGGATTTCAGGTGTTTGAATGAACTGATCGGATTGTAGCTGTCCCTTCGGTTGCGAATATTTTCGATCCGCCCGAACAACCCCGATATTTCACAGTGTCTGACTTGCGTTCCGGATACCACCAACAACTATCAAGTAAGAGGACAGGAAGAAAACGGCAATCATGGTTGGTGACACTCAATATCGATTTATACAAATGCAGTTCTGTCTGACGGGCGCAGCATTCACATTCAGGTGCTTGATGCCTCGTTTAACGAAGGGACTACAGAATGTTGCCGTGTATGGAGACGATATTGGTGTGTGTGGCAATTCGGAACCAGAGCACCCAATTCACTTGGAAGCCGTACTGAAGCGTATTCGGGAAACTGTTCAGCGGATAAACAAAGCTAAGGCACAACTCGCCCGAGGTTCACGGACACTATTCGGGGATAGATTGGGTCACGGAGAGGTTAGACTATGTCCAGAAAAACTGGCAAGGATCCAGGACTGTACAGTCCCTAATTTGAAGCGGTCTCAAAACAGTTTATCGAACGCCACAGCTAGTTTGTCAAGAACTTCAACACGGTTGCTGCTCCACTGTAAGACTTGCTGCATCCAAATCGGAAGTTCCAATAGACAAGAGAAGTGCATGAGGCCTTCGAACCTGTAAAAGCGCGGATGCCAGATCAGCAACTGACTCCCCATACCGATCACAAAACCCCTCGAGTGGATCGGGATGACCAGAGCTCCTCGCAGAAAGCTCAAACGACAGGCACTTCGGTTACAAGAGTAGGACTTCACGATCCGGCACGTGCCAGGGAAGGAGAACCCCCTGGCTGATGGGCTGTCAAAACCATAGGCTGGATAGGTCGCCCCGAAGATTCAATAGTTGTTTGGGACAACCCTTCTCTCCAGCAACCGGATATTGGTGGCTCAACAGTTCCCACCATCGTTGATAGCAATTCAGGATGACCCCTGTAGAAGCAGACGAGAGTGGCTGGGTCCAAGGTTATTAGTTATTAAAGCGTTTCTTCATTTTCAACCAGTGGATTGACCAACAACTCAGTTGGAGCCCCAATACATGTTGTATGAAGACAGAAAAATGTCACCTGTGTTCTGCTAACTGAGCGTCGTTTCGGTGGAACGCTTCAGTATGTTGCTGAATGTCTCGATGTAGTATCTCACGGAATGTTCCAATCCAACTCACCGGTAGTTTCACTGATATGGTGACGATGAGTTCTCTGGTGATCTCGTAGTAACTCCGACAAAGAGGCTAGCAGAGATGAAACTCTAAAATATTGCTTTCATGCGGAGAAAGCATCAGGTCACTGGCTTTACAACTGAGAGTATGCAACCATGCTGAAATCTGTCAAGGTGACGGGTATGTTCTTAGGTAGCCAATTCATAGATTTCAAAGGACGTCACCAGGATTTTCATTGCGTACTGTCAATCTATCGGGGCTACCAAAAATAGAGATTTGTGTCATGCAGTGGCGCCAATCATTAGCCCCAGTAGGAATGGTACATCTTTGCCTTTCATGGCATTCGGGCTTCGACAGAGACATCACGATAATATCCTTTCGTATAATTGAACGTTTCTGAATGTTCATCGACTTGACTGAGGCAGGTGCTCATTTATTAAAGGCGCACAACCTCACTCTAATTTACTTAATGTCTTCCTTATGGACAGCATTGTTTACAATTTTCGTTAGACTGGGACATCCAGTTTTTTAAGCTACTTTAAGCAGCTCATCAGTCGTTTTCCTGAGGGCACCCAAAATGGATCATACGACCCGCCAAAAAGATACACATACGCTACTGAATATCATTGTACACATAAAGGGATGATAACTTACTCTTATGGTGATTCGAAATGATATCGTCCCAAACACTCTGTCCCTTCATACACATACACTTTGTGGCGGAGTTTGTTGGAGTAACTGAACTTTCAATAACCAGTGGGTACGGTGTGATCAAGTGGAATGACTGGATTTACCGGCAACGACCGCATGATGCCGTGTCACTGGGCCCTCGGGTGGCATTCTTGAAATGTATACGAACTTGCTGGGCAGCTAAACTTAAACTCGTAGGCGGTTCTTTCCAACGCAAACGTTTAGCTCACGTTTTTATATCAACACATGATGGTATGTCCCATGAGATGCAAATTAAAAGTACACACTGACGAGGTCGAAGAAGAGGCCGAACAAGATACGTGACCACGTACTGGTTCGAATCCCATTCGAGCATGTAACTTACCTTCCAATACAACGTCTTGGCAAATGGTAAAGGCTGCAAAAATTCGCTAACTACCTCTCCACAAACGATTGCAGTTCGAACAGGCACTGATCCGTCACCGTGATGCCAATTTCAGAAAAGCCTATCTTCTTCCCATAGGTGAGGCTAATAATCCACCTTTGTCATCCAGACTGAAATTTCACCATGATTGATTAATATAACCTTCGCTGATTTGTTTGCGGTAAACTTACTCAGACCACTTTTCCACTTCGAATAGATGGCTCGAAATGACTTGAGGTGTTTTCCTTTCTACAGGTGGCACAGAATGAAAAAAATACCGTACTCTCTTGATGCATACACTTAAGCCGAGTAACTGAGTCAAGTTGGACGCGCTTGTTATCAGAGTTGCTGCTAACTGAAATAGCTTTCTTGTTGCTCCCTAGCACCTTAGTCCTCATGTCGACACCCCATATATGTAACACGCAGAGGTTGATCAGGAAGCTAGATAAAACACAGGTGTATCAACTTGTACCAGGCACATATGATTNCAACTTGTACCAGGCACATATGATTATATATATATATATATATATATATATATATATACTATAGTTCATTAGACATTATTCACTGCTGACTCAGGCCCATACACCGACAGTTTAGTGAATACGCTGTTTAGAGCAATGAATGCTAACAAATTTTGGTTGACCAGATGACTCAACTGCATGGTGTAAAAGTTTCTATCTATTTTATAAATATACCTGAATGTCATTCGAGAAGAAATCGGTGGGTTGTGCAGGCGTGCGGCTAAGAGAAAACCGGGCCTGGTGCTTTCACTACTGTCTCAGCGAGAGCGGGGCTAAATTAGAAATTCAGAAGATTCAGGCAAGACAAGTATGAATAAGCAAATCATTATTTGGAGGTAAAAGCATCATCATTCTAAACCCGGATAGATTGCCTGCATCCCGAAATTGATAGATATCCTAAAATAAATAGTCTAGACATTATCGTAAAAATTTTGATGGCAAACAATAGCCCTAAGATCAACTCACTGGGATGGTGACTCCATATCTGACTGATAAGAGAAGGGGCCAAAGAGTTCTGCGGACTGGATGTGTCGGTGGTAGGTTCACACGCCTCATCACTAATTTCAAGTGTTTAGCCCCTTCTTTCGCCGCATCCTGAACAAGCCGTTCGCAAGTTATCACATCTTCAGACTTAGGTGAAAGTGGCAGTTGATTTACTTCTGAGGATACGTGTTTTGAAAACCATCTGGAAAGTTGTGAATAAAGCGACAAACGCCTAATTCAAGGGAACATTTAAGTGAAACGTACGGAGAATTCGCAAAGTTGATTGACATGTCTCTAAGTGTGCAGCCCACAGAAGTAAAGTTTCCAGATAGGACCTGTTTATTATATTAACTACCTTTCAGATCTCCAGAAGGATTCAGCTCTAGCAGAGGCATCAGTGTCTCTTTCAAAGTAAAGCTAACAAAAGACGATGAAAACTGAAACCACATAAAACGAAGTTTCCCTACTTAATTTACCAGTTAATATGCCCAGGAGTTCGCACATAATGAGCATGTTCCGTCGTAGCCACCAACAGTAGGAGAGAAAAGATAATGTGAAAACAGTGAAGGTAGAGGAAAACTCATAGAGCAGCTACAAAATACCTAAAGCATGTGTTCTTAAGCACTCAGAGAATACCACCTGATCAATCCTTTACGCAACAGAGCATGAAAGTTCACCATCATCGCCGTCACCATCCAAAGTTAATCGGTGTTCGACACTGATATTACACTGCCACACAAAGACAATTTATCGGAAATCCTTATTGTGAAGAAAAGAATAAAAGTAGATAAGGAATCGACTTTGTGCTAGTCCACTACAGCTATTCTGAGGCGCCTACACCTCCGGACACTGGATTGAAACTGACAACGTCATTGGCATCGGCTAGCAGTCACATCTTGCACCGTCTCCAACCATGCACATGGAGGATTACGCGGACTCCATCCTGGAAGACGAGCCGCACCGACAACGACTAGACTTTCCGTAAAATCTTTCACGTGTCTTCCAGGTCAAAGGGTGACCATTTCTCTGTTTGCACTAAGCTGAATCGAAGATGCAGAACAGCACTCTTCCACAGCAATGAGTAGCCCTGCTCAATACATAGCCTAACCATTGCAGCCATTGGTGCTGGACACAGCCCCATTAAGGTCCCTGTTTCACAAAGGAACACTCGTTTTTCAACCGTTTTGCTGAAGATTTGTTGGTACCAGCCAACACGAGCTTTGGTTGTGAGAGGACGGTTATCGAGGACCTGATAGCATCTTATTCCAGCTGTTTGCGAAGAGCAACACAACCGTACAAGATAACAGCTCGTACTGCAGCCTGATACACACGCCCCTTGGTGTTCAGGGGTACCTTAAGCCACATGTATCACATATTAGCAAAAACGATCTCGGCCTCAGATATTCATACAATGACAGTCATCATACTAGTCGGAGTTTCGGCAAATATGAAAATAAGTAAAACGCTCTACAGACTACAGAATCTCTCATGGAATAGTAGTTGGCGTGTTCAGTGACTGCACGTGCACAAACACGACCGTAAGCTTTGTGGGAGCAAGGACAGATAAAACCAATCCATCCGAAGACACCTGCGGGCTCTAACGGCTATAGTCTAGATCGATAAGATTTTTGTCAGCAATACTGAGATCTTAAAGACGGTGTTTGTCCCATTACCATGTCGACAAAGAAACTGAATAGGACTAGAGAGAGATTGGATATGCTTATCGGATGAAACTATTTGCAGAAGAGCTTGTAGTGGGTTTTCCGTATGGGACGAGATGGCCCAAGTGATGAGAGCGCGAATGTACTGACCCGAAGGTCCGTGGTTCGAACCCGACCTCAGCCTCTCGACTTCCCCTGTCTAGGCTTGGGCAACCTGGCAGTATCCCAGCCGTCGTGCAACCTTCGGGTGGCATGGCGGTTGGGCACCGAAAGGGTGCTACAGCTGAACGATTATGCTCTCACACGCCCGCACGTCCGAGGATACAAAGAACTTGGCATGTTTGCAATCTTCCTGGGTAGCCTTTGCTGAACAAAAGTGGCAAGAAAATGTGTCCAACACAGCCGAATGGGCCCTAGAAGTTCATGAATACCAAAATTGTGTCACTCATACGCGTAGCGTTGTTCTAGCACTTGAAGGAGTGCAATCCCCAGAAGGCCGAAACCCCACTTATTGAGATAGAGTCAATGTTTCACATTCTAAAATGTGATGAAGGCACGCTACACCGAAAAAGAGGTTACAACTGGAGTCAAGGGCGAAATATCATGCGCGAACCGCCTTATTGGTTCAGGCGTTGCTGCGAGCTACAAGTCTAGCTCACAAATGATTGATAAGAAAAACAGACAGCTGGCCGGTGCAGCATCAAGATGAGCTCTGATGGACTGACAACTTAAAAAGCTGGACCAAAACTGCATGATATTTGCTGATGACTTGAATTGAAGTTGTGTCGCGATGGACAAGGAGTGCGTTGGATGAGGGAGAAATGTGGGTGGCGGGGGTCAAACTGTCGCCAAACTAACTGGAATGTCAGTTGACATCTACGCGCAGAACATTCGAACAGCCCCCCTGACAGTGTTGTTACGGTGGCGATTATTAAGACGATCAGGCCTTAGCTTGAGGCGTGTCTGTGGGAAAGACCTCAAACCTGGAAGTACGAAGGAGAACCAGGAGATGGCCATGCCGAAAAATTTCCTAATCCCACCAGTGCTTCGATAGGTCCGGTGTTAACGCAGTATGGGGCTGACATAGACGTCCGAGTTTTCCTTCATCAAAATGAATCTGCATCCGACTGCACATGGCATCTCCCTGAGGTTTAGCTAGTGTCCGTGTTCTGTCTGACATCTGGTGCCTGAGCGGAGCTGCTGTGACCGCAGTCAAAACACCCGGTGTTGTGCAAAGATAGTACGATTATGCTGCAATGCGAATTGACGTCCGAAGCTGGAACAGCTGACTGTCCGGGATATGGTCCTGATAAGTCCGCTTAACTTCGGAATCTGAGGGCCCCTCAGTTGCTAAGCGAGTTGTTTGCCGCCTGCACAGTCTTGAAAAGCGAAGAAAGAAAAGAGGATCAGGGAGTCAGCATCCACACAAGTGTCCCAAAACGAAGGAGTGCCAGTTACTGATCTACGCTATGAGTAACTGATGGCCATGTGGTCAAGTTGGGTCTGGTCCTGGCATTTGGCACCATGTAGTCAGATTTTTTCTATTTCGGAAGTTCGTACTGCACAGAAACAGTCGGCGGTCAGTACAAATCTGAAGCAGTCGTTCACCTTGTCCATGCGTGCCAAATCCAATAAAAGTCCATCACCCAAAACAGTCTCAGATCCATTCAAATCTCGAGCAAGCACAACGTAAGCTGAGCTTTTGGACCGCCATAACAGCAAACTCAAGGTGTTAAAACGTCTTTGATGGTATCAGAGCTACAGTCGGTTTGTACGTAAGGATACATGATAAACAAACAACAATCAACATCCCGTTCGTGAGACTGCCTAAGACGTTGTCAGATAAGCCAGACAAAAGCAATAATCGGCGAGTATTCGGTCAACCAAGCACCCGCCCATCCAGTGACTCAGAGCAGTGAAAGCTCCACCACACTGGGCTTTGGATCGTCAAAGGAGTATCATTGGGTCTTAAAATTTCGTTTCTGATAAGCAGCACACACCAATTTCAGGAGAATCCAATGTGCGGGTAAGAGCAGTCTATTGTTTTGCTTTCTTCAGAGTACAAATATCTAAAAACAGATGAACAACTCGGAGGTCGAGGTTTGAAGATTGATTTCGAGATATCTGTGGTTGTCGGCGCGAATGTCGCGGTCAACACCAACGCAAGAAGAACGGAGTGGTATTTCTAACGAATGGGCTGCAAGGAGGGAATTATCATTGCGACGAGAAGAAGGGTAGAAGAAGCAGGTGGAAGAGAAGGATGGGAGGCGTTGGCAGTAGTCTGTTCTCCGTCACGAAGAGACTGGACCTTACCGTGTTGTGACGGTTTGCGCACCTCAGCGATCCATTGAGCTATACTGGAGAGTGTCCCGCGACACTCACAGAGTCTCTCATACCAGGTTGGTCAATGGTTAGAGGTCTGACGAACACAGTCTCCTGGCCCTCCAAGTTGGGGGTTGGAACATGTGGCGACTTGTTCCGTAGAAATGGTAATGCATTTGCATTTCCCGCCAAACACCGCTGCCTTGCAGTTAGGCTTTTGAGCCAAAGGCTTTGGTTGAGGACACTAATCGTCCTTCTGTCTAGGTGTGGGCGCCCTGACAGTATCCCAGCCCTCGTACAACCATGACCTACACAACCAACAATATTCTCATGCCACATCGGCCGTCGCGTGGTGCCATCAGCCGGGTCGCCTTACTTGCTGCATACAGAAAGCCGGTAATGCCCGGAGATTATTTCAGTTGATCCGTGCGACCGGTCCCCGGAAACCACCTGTGAGTCTCCTGGCCCTCCAGGTTGGGGGTTGGAACATGTGGCGACTTGTTCCGTAGAAATGGTAATGCATTTGCATTTCCCGCCAAACACCGCTGCCTTGAGGTTAGGCTTTTGAGCCAAAGGCTTTGGTTGAGGACCCTAATCGTCCTCCTGTCTAGGTGTGGGCACCCTGGAAGTACCCCAGCCCTCGTATAACCATGACATTCACAACTACCAATACACTCATGCCACATCGGCCATCGCGTGGTGTCATCACCCTGTTCTCCCTTGCCCGACCTGTTGTATTAAGTAAGTATGGGGACCCAGATGATGGAACCATGGGATGAGTTTATTTCTGGTTGCAGGAAGCAACCTTATACGTGAGATGAGATAGTGTCCAAGCGCTCAATCCTAGAAGAGGACAATAAGGGACCTAAACCAAAGTCTTTGTTTAAAAAGAATAACCACAAGACGGCGGAGTTTGGCAGGAAATGTCAATGCAATATCTGTTTTTCAAGGACAAGTACCCATATTACTTCCAACTAACTTGGAAGACCAGGAAACTGTGTAGGTCAGAACTCTAACCATTGTTCAGCCTGGTGTAAGATACCGCGAAAGTCGTATGAACATTTCCCAGAAAAGCTCAAAGGGGCATGGAAGCTCATAAACCGTCACAACACAATATGGTCCGACCCCTTTGTGGCGAAATTTAAGTGGGCCTTATTACTATCCACATATCTACTCCAACTTTTTTAAAAAAGGACAATATAGCTCGTGGACTGAGGTTGAATTCTCCAGAACTATACACCAGCTTAAGTGATACCGTAAGCAACTTACCCAACATGAGAATCCATTGCCCCGTCAGTATGAACACTAAGGTGTGGTACAAAAGTGCGAGAGCAGGGGAAGGAAATCACACCGACTGCACCGAGTACGGTTCTCCTTGGTAGTGGGGAGAGCACAAACAGGCTCTTCGTAACTACAAAATGAAAGGAAAATCTACCATGATAATCATTATCATTGACGACATTATAGGACAATATTGATGTTCCACTATCTTACAATCAACTCAGTTGCTTATAAAGAAAAGATGGGATAATAAGGGGGAGCTATGGCTGAGCTATCTCCAATACTCAGTCAGACAATTTGGATATGAAACTGACAGTATGGAAGCTACTGACATCCGTTAGCTACTATATCGTTCAGTGTCTCCAGTCAAACACAAAGAGGGCCGTCCTGGAAGGTGTGCAGCATCCACGCCCTTCTTGACATCCGTCATTCACCTTTTCCATGTTAAATTTTGTGCAACTCCGAATGAGGCACGGAAAATAGCGCCCGTCTCGGTAGGCGGTAACTCGGCATGTGTAACAGATGGCCCAAAAACCTGAGCGTGCAGCGATGGATGAAATCTCTGAGTGAAGTACCGTTTGGTTCACCAGAACCCCATCTCCTGATCAAATCATTCCTAATTCGCTGATTACAGTCGACTCCAGCCATAACTCTGAGACATCGGTGGTCAGATGTCTCATACCCACCACCCGAAGTGACGAAATCCTGCAGCCGTAAGACAATATAGCCCACACTGTCTCGTTCACTGGAAATGAGAGGATGAGTGGGAAGAATTAGAAATGATTTCCTAACAAGATTATTGATGTACAGTTTACGTTAACTGTTTGTATGTTGAGTCCCAGGTCATAACTCTGGAAGAGGCGGCGACCTTCAGTCAGACTACTTAGTGTTGGGGTTTGTTATGGACAAGTCACAGACCACTTGTTGGTCATTTTCACTCAATGCACAGCTTGGCAAAAAGAACTAAGTGAGACGATCAGCCTTCTGGATATTCGGGGCACGTGACATAATAAAAACCGACAGTGTAACGTGATTAGCGTGTCCATCATAGGAGAGCTCCTTTTGAAAGCCACCCAGCGTACCCCGACGTTGTGGGTCCGACGTTCCCGACAGACTCATACACCGGTCTGGGATCTCCGATGATCGAACACCGAAATTTTCTCGTATACCTTCTGCGTGTGAAGTCCCCATCTTTCGCCCATTGGGCAGCAGGGATCGAACAACCACGGGTTATACCCTAACCGTGACAAACGGTCGTCACACCACAGGCGTCGAAAGCGGGCAAAAGCTGTTTTGGATTTTCTGAAGCGAGGACTGGATTCATCTTCAGTCACCTTCTTCAAACAAACTTACATAGCAGTCCAGGTAGGCTGCTGTATCTATAGATCGATGGGCTGGTTTGCAAACATGGGATTTGGGTGATTGCGCCGTCTAATGACAGCACTTTGGGCTTTGCAGTTGTGTACCACACGCCTAACCGAGTGGTAAAATTCTTTTGGTCAGTTGAAAGGACTTGTATCTCTAAAGGGTCAGGACCGCATGGCAAATGACTCCCAACGAACGCCACGACGAGATTTCGTGGGCCGATAGAATTGCGCAGACCATATCAATAACCAAGATGAACAAAAAGATGAAAGTGGACAAACGTAAATCTGAAGAACCTGATAAATTCAGACGGGCAACCTGGCAGTATTCTAGCCCTGCTTTCTTCAGGTGGCATGGCAGCATGAAACCGAAAGGGTGTTACACCTGGACGATTTATTGATTTGTGTACAGAATGGAAAGCAACTTCCAAACAAAAGCTACTCTTGTTGGTCAGTCATCATCACCATCATCGCTGACAACATACTGGTTCTTAACTGCTACACGACCAAGAAAAGTCTTAGTAAGGAGCAGGAAGAAAGGGGATGGAGGACTACGAGGCCCTAATTTTCTAACGAAAACGACCAGAATCATGGCCGGCCGAAAGAGTGGAACTATTTACTCACGAAAAGGTATTTACTGCACCGTGGGTCGGGGCGGAACTTAAGTTGGTTTTCACAAAATTCGCTCTGCAGTTGGTCATCCGGCACAAGATAATGCTTCGACTACCAGGCTGATGTCGCGACGTGATTTCGCAGTGACGTTCTTGGAGCAGCGCCAATGTGGTTCGGTAAAAGGATATCCAGTTCTTAGTAGAGCTGTCGGAGACATTACCAGGACCTCACAAACCCCGTCGGAGGGCGCAGAATGCAATCATCCGAGTGGGTGTTTTGCGGGGTTGAAGGCACGACACCTCACGCACAAATTATGTTGTTGTTAGGGGACTGGTGTCGGCGTACCGTTGGGATTCACAGGGTACCTCCAGAGCTTGTATTGTCAAATGCCGGCTGAGGATTTTTCGGAATGTTCGGTTTATCACTCAAGGCAATAAATTACTGGTATATCCTCGTAAACCGCTTCTCTGGGGGAAGGGTTCTTCTGGTCAGTTGATTGAGGTAGCTGAAGGATGAGACTGTTTTCTGCAGCAGAAGCTTTGTCCACTTCCAAAAATCTCGTGACTGTCATGACAATCTAAACTATATCTTTGCATACACCCCTAACTCGTAATTCTCACTCTATATTTTCGGCTCACGTACTAACGTTATTTGACGATTAAAGCTACGATGCGCCCTTCTATTCTGTCTTCCTTCTAACCTCGACCTGGAACTACCGGACGCTCGCAACATTAACCCACCAGTCTTTGGGCTTGTTTGCACGAAGAATATGCGTGTCGCTATCAGCTTGTGTAGTTTTTCAGACACCAGTGAGAGCTGCCATCCTCGGTCATATTGATAGTGTCGAATGATTTGGGCGAGGGGCGAGATGGCCCAAGTGGTTAGAGCGCGACTTTACTGACCGACCTCCGCCACTCGACTTCCCCTGTCTAGGCTTGGGCAACCTGGCAGTATCCCAGCCCTCGTGCTTCCTTCGGGTGGCATGGCAGCTAGGCACCGGAAGGGTGCTACAGCTGAACGCATGATTTGGTCGGATGGTCCTGATACTAGCATGAACTACTTCACTCGTATTCGTTAAACATACTGTCGACCTTCATTAGTAGTGGGTCTACAAATTTTGAGTGACTTTCTGCAGAAATTATCCCAACATTGATGAGCTATGGAGACCGCTGGAGGTGATAAACCGAATAGTATCCTGTTGGTTTGCATGATCCTGGGGGACAGCGAGTTGGCAAGCTAGACCACACTGCTACATGATCGGAACCAAGTTACGAAACCCAGAAGGAGCGTCAATCCTTAACCGAAGCTCTCCGCCGGCAAATAATGGTCACGTGTTTCAAGTCCATGACTGTTGTGCTGGCATCCAAGCAAGACGCCGTAGGCACTTGTACTGGATGTCATGATTTTTGTGTGCTTATTCTTGAAGCTCTCCGCAAATAATGGTCACGTGTTTCAAGTCCATGACTGTTGTGCTGGCATCCAAGCAAGACGCCGTAGGCACTTGTACTGGATGGATGGATTTTTGTGTGCTTATTCTTATACTTACCATATATACTCGTACTGAACTTTTGTATGTACATTTCAGCTCACGTGCGCATGTTCTTAGACAAGTAAAACGTTGCTTATCCTCGAAAACCTGGATTCTGTTCTAACTCGTTCTCGGACACTTTCTAAACGTCTCAATTTACTTGTCTAAGAACACAATGGACCCGCAACTACGACCTCGGTTCTTCGACGCTGACCCAAACTCCGCAGATGCAGCAAAACGCTGGAATCACTGGTTTCGTACCTTCGAAACCTATCTGAAAACCGTCGAATCTTCTAAACCCGACAAACTTGAAACTCTCATCCACTTTGTGGATCCATTAGTATACGATCACATTGCTGATCACACCGACTATGAATCTGCAATCGCCACGTTACGGAAATTATATGTCCGTCCAAAAAATGTCATATATGCACGCTACCTGCTACAGACCTACAAACAGGAGAGTGGACAGGATATCGATCAGTTCGTACAAAAACTGAAATCATTAGCCAAAGACTGTGAGTTTAAATCTGTGTCTGCAACTGAATATCAAGATGAGTGCGTGCGTGATGCTATAATTAATGGCCTGGCGTCCACATCCATCCGCGAGAAGCTTCTAGCACAAAGCGAACTCACTCTGGACCAAACATATCAGCTGGCTAGATCCCTCGAATTGGCTCACAAACAGTCACAGTCATATGTTAGTAACGAACCCATATCTTGCTCTACGATTCCACCCATTTCACAGAATCCCGAACTGCGTGTTGATCCCACCACTGCTGCTGTAAAATCCATTCAGACATGTTATTTCTGCGGTTATGATGCACATCCTCGTCCAAAGTGCCCCGCTCGCGAAGCCGTCTGCAATCTTTGTGGTAAACGCGGTCACTTCCGCCGCGTGTGCCGTTCAAAAAATACCTCCAAGTTCCACACAAGTTGTACAACAAAGCCTACTTTATCGTCATTATTCGTTGCAGCAGCTCCTACCTGCCTGGCGCATGCCATCGCAACTATCGAAGTCAATGGCATCACTCTCCGTGCTCTGGTCGACACAGGGAGTTCTTGCAGTTTCATTAACGCTAAGGTCGTGAAACTGCATAATTGGAAAATTTATCCAACTTTCTCAGTCGTCACAATGGCGTCTACATCCCTATCTTGTCGAACGACTGGTTACGCTTGTGTTTCTGTCCGATACAGAGATACCTCATACAGTGAACTGAAGCTCTTTGTAATGCCAAACCTCTGCACCGACGTTTTACTCGGGCATGACTTTCTAGGTCTACATGGCAAGGTAGAAATTTCATTCGGCGGGGATCGTGATGCGCTCACCATCTGCGGCCTGACGGCTGTAAACGTTGAATCACCATCACTTTTCGCCAACTTGTCTCCAGATTGCAAGCCTGTTGCAACCAAATCAAGAAGGCATCATCCGGATGATGAAAAATTCATTCGCGCCGAAGTTGACCGCTTATTGCAAGAAGGCATCATCGAACCGTCAACGTCTCCCTGGAGAGCGCAGGTTTTGATTACTAAGGGTATCAATCACAAACGCCGGATGGTTGTTGACTACAGCCAAACTATCAACCGGTTCACATATCTGGACGCTTACCCTCTGCCACG